GGAGATGCCTGAGAGAATTAAGCAAAATTGAAGAAAATTTACTTGTCAATATTTCCCCATAATTTTTTTCGTTTAGCTATTTATGAGTTATGTAGAATGGCTAAATAGAGAAATTAGGGAAAAATACCTACAATATATATTGTATAATGGGATTTTAATAACAAGACAAACACATTCCATCCATAAAAATATACCTAAATTTTGGTAGTCCAAGTGGAGGGTAATGTAATGGGAATCCATAGGATCAACAATTATTTCCATTTAATGGCTCGGCCAACGGGAATTTAATGACACGACAAATACTTGACATACATATAAACCTATACCTGGTGTAAATTGGAAATAGTACATTACGGCATCTAATGGCATCAGGCGATAAAATCATTATAATTACATGAGTCAGATAGTATTTTTATCGCCGTATGACATGTAATATTTTATGTTATTCGGCCCGAAAACCGCGATCTCATAGAGGTTAGAATCGTGATTTCTCGGGCCTAGTGACAGAAAATTAAATTTGTGCACACAATAAACCGAATAGGATCATGTCAAGAATTTGTGAAGAATTCGAGCTTCCCCTACTCCTCACTCTGGTTGCCAAAATGAGGACAAAGGGGTCACGTGAGGGTCAGTGAGCTGACCAGCGGTGCCTCACTCTCACTCTCCACGAGCTTTGACCAATAAACGTCAAACAAATATTTCCGTATAGCACATTGACCTGTTGTTAATGAAGTCACTAGAAATCCGAATCGACTTCTGGTGATGAAAATTTGGTACTTAAAATTAAGACTCCATAATGAAGGGTCACGAGGGTCAAAATAAGGGTTATGAGGGTCAGAATAAGGATCGCCAGGGTCCAATTAAGAATCCAAATAAGGACCATCAGGGTCAAAACAAGGGTCTCCATATCTCTCTATATTATAAAAATCCAAATCGACTTCTGGTGATGAAAATTTGGTTTTCGTGAAAAATTGCTTCGCTCGGTTTGATCGCGGTTTACGGGCCTTCTGACGAAAAATTGCATTCATCACACGGTCCAAAAGTATTTTCTGACGAATGTGATAATAGGCCTCGCCTTCGGCTCGGCCTACAAAGCCACATTCGTCAGAAAATACTTTGTGGACCTTGTGATGAAAATAACTAACTCGAAATTAAGACTCGAAAATTAAGGGTCAGAAAATAAGGGTGACAAGGGTCAAAATAAGGGTTACGAAAGTTATAATGAAAGCCTAAATAAGAGTCACGAGGGACAGATTAAGGGCCGAAAGAAAGGTCATGGATGTCATATCTATGGGGGCTATATGGGGGTTGGCGAGCGGAGTGAGCAGGGGGCGCAGCCCCCTAGTTCCTCATATAATTAGTAATGTCTATGGTACACGTTTGCTTTTTTAATGTTGACGATAATTTCGACTATTTTAGAAATAATTTAAAAGATTGATTTTACCGATTATTTTTGTAAACCGTTAATTGCACAGCGGATCTTCCCGAGTGGAAATTCCGGTCAGGTCTTGATCAAGTTCGGATCAGGTTAGACCTGACCACTGATCAGGTATTGATCAAGTTGACGGATCCGGTCTTGATCAGACATGTTACGCTTCTGACCAATCCGGATTTGATCAGGACGAATGGATCCGAACTTGATCAAGTCAACTGTATGAAAACCGCATGACTGGTCTGTCAGTATCAATAACAATTATCAATGATAATTAATCCAAAACAAAAGATAATTCAATTTTTTCACGATAGATGGCCTCTTCTAATGAATCCCTAGCGTAACTACCGTTGAAAAAATCCTCGTATTTTTCCGGATGGTGGGGATCGAACGGGGGAACCTACGATTACTAATCCTAAGCCCTAATCACTAAACTATCGACCTATATGATCTGTATCTGGGTATTTGTTGACTTTGAGATTATTTATGATCTCGCCGATTTGCGCGTATATTCAGAGAGAAAATTTGTTTAGCTAAAATTTTATCCATTTCATTAATGGATAATTATCCTGATAATCATATCATTAATGAACAAATGGGAGCTTGATAAGTTTTTTTCTAGTCAAGATAATTTGCTTGTGAGTGTGACACTTCGACTATATGTGGTTATTGAGCCACTCCTCCCTCTCTGCACAATCAATTAATTAAAAATTAATAAAAAATCAATTAAAAATTAATTTATAAATTACTTGAAAATTTTAATTAATTAAAAATTTGATCCTCGGAAAAGGTTTGTTCAAAATAAGATCAAGTGGACCCGATCCGACCTTATCATTTTTTCTTCCATTAACCCCGTTCAAATGAAAATCAATTGCATCTAATTCGAATTGGATCAAATTGGGTTTAGGCAACCTGACCTCAGACTTAGATCATGTGTACCTGATCAGAACTACATCTGAGCCCATCTGAAGTTTTTGGGATCCGATCGAGTGGATCAAAACTTGGTCAGGGTCTCATCAGGCGCCACCTGATCACGCCTACCTGACCAGAACTTGATCTGAACTCGCCGTTAGTTTTCGGGATCCGATCGACTGGATCAAAACTTGGTCAGGGTCTCATCAGGCGCCACCTGATCACGCCTACCTGACCAGAACTTGATCTGGACTCGCCGGTAGTTATTGGAATCCGATCCACTAGATCAAAACTTGGTCAGGTTCTCATCAGAAATCACCTGATCGGTCAAATCTTACGAAAACTGGATCATGTTCTGATCATACTTCAGGCGGACCTGAAGCAATTTCCACTCGGGTAGTGGTAGTGCATTAAATTTCTCATACGAAAAATTACTGTTGTCACTGAAAAAAATTGTTTCGTATTCTTTTCCTGTACGAAAAATACTTTTAAATTAAATTCTTTAAAACTCCATTCACTCAAATCCAATGACTTGTGATTTACCGGGTCATTAGTTGCTTCATTATTGACTCAATGAATTTATTCAGATGTCTCTGTATGAGAATTTGGAGATAAATATGCAGAAGTTCCAATGGCTTTACAAATGTTTGTTCACAGGAAAATATATTGTAGAAACATTCTATTGAATATCTCTTGAAGTATCTATTAGTAGTGGGGTAAAGTGGTCCTTTTTGTCCACGCAGTGCGTAAAATTCAAGGACATACGGAGAAGGCTCACGAGGTCCACACCTTCCAAGGGGTTTTCCGGATTTTTTTCCCCGTAAAAAATGCCCCGGAGAAAAATCCTCGGAAAATTTTTCCCCTGGAAACTTTTTCTCTTAGAAAATTTTTCCCTTGAAAAATTTTTCTCCCGAGAAAAAGGTTCCCCAGAACAGCTCCTATGTCCTCTAGAAAAAAAACCGTGTAAAATTTTCCTGGACAATATGAAATCAGTTGAGAAAATCAATTGAGGAATCGCTATATCTCAGGAAATGCTCAATCGATCGAGATGAAATTTAGCACAAATTTGAGTACCAGTAGTACTAATTAGCAGCCAGAATGTTAGCGTCTTTGCGTTCATCGTTCTCGAGTTATAAGGACAGTATTGGACAACCGAACATAAATGTGCACACACATACATACACATATACAGACATTTTTTAAAAACATCATTTCTTCACGTTTCATGACATTTCTAGGCATTGCTACCGAAAATTAAGAAATCGAAAAAAATCATGATTACGAGGGTTCCATTCGGAAGCAACAAACCGGGGAAAATTCTACATGGGAAAAATTAGTGAGGGGAAAAAAGTTCCAAGGGAAAAATTCGCCGAGGGAAAATTCACGGGCAAAAAAATTCCAGGAATTTTTCAACGGGGAAAAAACTACGGACACTTCTCCAAGGTCCCAAATCCAATCCTCATCCTAACGAAGTAAGCACGCACTGCTTTTATACAGCAATTAAGTAATTAAGCCTCGACTGCCATTTAGTACCAGTCAGTATTTAACTTCCCCTCGAACGAGCAGCACCGCCTAACTTATTCAGGAGCCTTAAGGCACGATAAAAGACATTTTGACAATCTTGCTTCTCCAGTTAAAAATAGATTATATCCGGAAGAGGCAAACAGGACAATGAAACAATCATAAGGGTAAAATGAGACAGGCAAGTAGAACAATCATAAAGGCCAATGAAAAATGATCAAAGTCGATCTTTTGTAAGTGATTTTATTGATTTGTAAGTGAGGTTCAGCCGCATCCCTGCTTGAATTTCTACACGAGTACCGGGTCATTTGTTGTTTCACTATTGACTCAATGAATTTATTCAACTGTCTGTGTATGCAATTTTGGAGATAAATATGCAGAGACTCCAATGGCTTTACAAATGTTCGTACACAGGGAAAAATATTGCAGGAAAATTCTATTGAATATCTATTCAAGTATTTATTAGTAGTTGGGTAAAGTGGTTATTTTTGTCCACGGAGTGCGTAAAGTTCAAAATCATGCCGAAAAGTGACCAAGGTCTACACCCTCCAAGGTTCCAAATCTAGTCCACATCCTAACGAAGTCTGCGCTTTCCCTTATACATTAATAAAGTAATTAATTAATGAAGCCTCGACTGCCATTTTATTCTTCAGGACTGTCTAGAGTCTAAAAGTCAGTCTAGAGTCAGAACCTAAACTATGTAGTACAGCTGGTTACAATTTTTTTCAATAGTTGGGGAATATTATAACCATTATCTATGAAAAACATACGGACAATCGTAAAAAAAACCTGTTTTCTAGGGATATTTCTTAACCCAGGATAAAAGAAATTCTGACAGTATCTCGCTTCTTCAGTTTCTCCTTATTTTAATTGTAATTTCATTGAAATACAACAGAACTACTAAAAAATTATTGACTGGAAATATACGAAATTGAGATTAATATTCTCCGCAAATATTGATACAACATGAATTATCAGACTGGAAATTCCGGCATCTTATGGAAATTTACCGGTGCGCAAAGATTGTAATTAAATTAGTTGTCGCCTATCTTACTTATAAATTCAGGAATTGAAGACACATTGGATATTGACGGGTCATCCAGACGTCGAAATTGTTTAGAATCAAACTATTAAAATGAAGCTATTCATTTTTCTCAGGACTCTTCTACCATTGGTAAGTTATGTATCTTCCATATTCCCTCTATATATAATTGTGGCACAATTTTTCTGCAGAGAAGCTTGAAGAAAATAACACATATGAATGAAAATCCTATAAAAAAACGTAGTGCATTCACCAAAAGAGTCGATTAGATACTTTTTGGAGTTCTATTGAAAACTATTAGTTTTTCCGCTGATTCTATGGGAGAATTCCGCAGTTTCCTTTCAAGATGAAATGTTCAATTGAAAGTATTTTGCAAGAAAAATCAGAAGAATTCGAATTTTCGATACCACTTTTTTTATTGGTTGAAGTATGGAACTCATAGCCGAGCTACACTGATAGAATGATTCATTTATTCCAAACGAGATTCGTTAACTATATTAACAAATGGTAAAGTTGAATATGACCAAATACATATTCGTTGATAGTAAACTTGAAAGGTGAAAGTCGAGTCAAACAAGACTTCTCAAATATGCATTCGTTAACTATTAACGAATGAACATTTGGTGAGGCCAGATAGACCCTAGCCTTCAACCAAATCCATTTGTTAACAATAACTAATCCTGTCTATCAGTGTATTTATACTATCGGAAAGGTTTCATACCTGTTGTTTTACATTGGCTTACTGTTGGCGTGTTGTTGGCTTGTTGTTGAACATTTTGCTGATAATATGCATAAATTGGATTTGATAAGATTTTTCTCTCTATTGGATGAATAGACGGGTTAGAACAAAAATAAATTTTTTTAAAGTGATAAATTCATGCCAAGTAATTTTTATAAAAAATATCTCAACAGAGTAAGTTATACAGAAATGCCGGATTCTATTGAAAAATTGAAAAAATCAATATTTTTCCAGAAAATGATTTTTATTGAGCATCTTCTATTGAATAAGACGCTTCGCAAACTTGCGGAATTTTTCAATGAAGCCGGAGGAAAACCAATAGAATTTGTAATGAAAATTCTATAGAATTTTTAAACGAATAGGCAATCTAGGCAATAGAATTTTTAATAGAATAGGCAATTCGTGTGTGAACCGATGAATGTTGGAGTAATTAGTCCGTAAGCTAGGGGGGTTTTTGCACACATTTTAGGTCGCGATGATTTTTTCATTGGATGCTATGTTTTTCGACCTGCTGAATCCGAATATGAAGGTCCGCCGCTCGAATTCCTGTGAGTTTTTTTGTTATGAACAATTTTTTAATAAATAATTGAAAAATCGAATTTTCGGGTCGGGAAAATTTTTTTCTGTAAAATATACGCCATTTTAAGGGGGGTATGTCTTCAGCCATTTTTCGCATTCGCAACGGTTCCATCAATAAAAAATCATAAACAAATGATTTTTCTAGGTATTTTCGAAAATATTGATTATTTTTTTTTCGTATTTCACGGTGTTGCATGAGTTATTTATATGATACATCATGAATCATGGAGGAAAGGACTCAATTTATAGTAAATTAGTCATTTTTCAATAATTTGTTCAAATAAAAAAAAATCAATTTTCGACGGAGAAAAAAATTTTTCTGCATGTTAGAAGCAATTTGAAAAAGGTAAGTTCTTATAATATTTTCCCTAAAGTCAACCATTTGTTCATAAAAAAATTATGAAGAAATTAATTCCTCACAAATTCACCCGAAATTTAAAAAAGAGAAAATCCTGCGGATCAAAGATGTGGGATTAAATACTCGTTTTGTGCGAGTATTGAAAAAAATAAACCACCTGAAACTCTCAGGATCCAGGACAATAAAAGTTTTCCACACTGCAGTTATTTCATCGTATATTTATCATGACACGCTCCTTTGGTTTTACAAGAACAGAAACTGATACCCGCAATTCCGGCATTTACACAGGCACATTTGTTATTAGAGTATTTTTGACATTGACAACCATGCATCAAATCTTCTTTTGGAGGATAAATCATAGTAACAGTACTAGGGACTAATTCTCCATTCTTCAATTCATACCCAAAATCAATAGGATTGAGATGAACATAATCAAATGAAAGGCCCATAATTTGACGATAGGTCTGATAAAGGGCACGTAAAATGTGAAGTCGTATTGAATTTGATGTATGTGGTAAGTCATCAATCCCTTTGAAGTTGCCGTGATAATAGATCCAATCTCTCAGTTCATTGGATGTTTTGGCAGCGTTTTTTTTACGCAGAACTTGGACTAGATAACACTCAGCAGAGCTCACTCTCCTCAATCTTCTCTTGGGATATTTCTAAATTGCGAGATTGAAGAGTTGGTGAAAAACTGATGAAAAGAATGATTGTACAGAGAGGAATGAAAAATTTCTCCGAATAGAATGAATAACGAAACATAAACTTACTGTAATTCTGCAAAAAAAGAAAAACATCGAACACTGACGACGATATTTCTCAATCGTTTTCTCTATTTTAGTTCACCTCGGTTACTCAACCTACCAAGAACATGATTTTAAGGTTTGAAAAAACGATACAAAAAAAAACTGAAAATTGAATTGAAAAATCCTTCAAGGGACTTGTTGCGAGCTTGATCGATTATGTAGATCGATTATGACGGGTTCGCCATGGGAATTGATATGTAATTTGCAAATTTTTATATTTTTCCCCCATTCATCAACGAACCGAATGGCGATAAAAACTGATTAGATTTTGTTCACATAATTCATTACTGCAAAGGAAAAGCAGTTCCAGTAGATTTCGTCCGGAGGTCAGTTTCCGAGAAATATCTCAAGAACTAAAAAAGCTTTTTTGTAGAGCAAGATGAGACCTTCAAAAAAGGTCTTCACAAAAATCACGTCAGCTATCTTAGATTCAAAGATATTCCTTGGAAACTGAGCGAGAATTCTACTCAAACCGTTTTACCTCTTCATTACAGGATTGAAACTATCGCGATGGAAGATTTTCCTTCGTTATTGAAACAAATACAGCTATAAAAATGTGAGTCTGCACTGAAAGTATTGATTTGTTCAAATTTGTATGAATGAAATGGCTACACAGCGCAAATTCTGCAGGATTTCTTCTTCTGTAAATTTCAGGTGAATTTGTGAGGAATTAATTTCTTCATAATTTTTTTTTTTGAACAAATGGTTGACTTTAGGGAAAATATTATGAGGATTTACCTTTTTTAAATTGTTTCTAACATGCAGAAAAAATTTTTTCTCCGTCGAAAATTGATTTTTTTTTATTTAAACAAATTATTGAAAAATGACTAATTTACTATAAATTGAGTCATTTCCTCCATGATTCATGATGTATCATATAAATAACTCATGCAACAACGTGAAATACGAAATAAAAATAATAATCAATATTTTCGAAAATACCTAGAAAAATCATTTGTTTATGATTTTTTATTCATTGAACCGTTGCGAATACGAAAAAATGGCTCAGGACATACCCCCCTTAAAATGGCGTATATTTTACAGAAAAAATTTCCCGACCCGAAAATTCGATTTTTCAATTTTTTATTAAAAAATTGTTAATAGCAACAAAACTCACAAGAATTCGAGTCGCGGACCTTCATATTCAGATTCAGCAGGTCGAAAAACATAGAATCCACTGAAAAAATCATCGCGACCTAAAATGTGTGCAAAAACCCCCCTAGCTTACGGACTAAATAGTGGTACCTATTTGTCGCATTATGACGGGGAGAAAAAAAGTTGCGGGAAAAGTATCAAAGAAATTACGTAAAAATTACGTTGTTCGACATAATTCTGATGTATTATTAATCCTTCGCAGAAATTACACTTCAAATATGTTTCCACACGCAAGAATCACGTTTCAATTCATAAAATTTCCACAACTTGAGAGGGAAAATTAATTTTTTGCAACATATTTTTCCATGTTTCTTTTGTAAAAATCTTCAAACCAGTATTTCGCCTCACTGTTACATTTTACTACGTAATTTTTTTTCAAGTTTTTTCTCCGTGTGCTTTCGCGCAGATTTCCGCCGATCGGAATGAAATATTTCGAAAAAGAAGCAAATGTAAAATTGCTGCGAGATTTAAACTTTCATTAACATTAGCTAACAATGCTATTTGTTCCAGATCGTTGCATCTTTTGCAACGGAGACAGAATTTTATGCTTACACAGTGGTAAATTCGGAAATCAGGGAAAAGATACAAAATGTGTCAACATACATGTACTCTTTAGATCTTAAGGTTCAGAATATGTCTAAGCAGTTCCATTGGAATGTCAGCAGCGTGCGGTCAAAGTATGGATTCAAAACATATTTACATTTCAAGGAAAAGGTAATGTCAAACAAATTTTGCAACTCATCGGCATTCTTCATCGGTAGTTGATCATCAGTCGTTAGCAGTTTGTGAAGTGAAATTCGAAAAACGTTTGATAATTCTCTCCTGAACTTTGAAGTCAAAGGACGTTAGAGCATCACGACAATTTTCTTTCACTTACTATTATTCGCCAAAATTGGTCAGTCCATTATTAATTTCAGCGTGGTCTCCCTGTCAGCAACTTTCCATATATTACAGTTGAACAGTTCTCATTTCTCACAGAATTTCACAAATGAAAAAATTTAATTGAAAACCCTAGTGAAATCGTTAGACAATTCTATTAGAGTTCTATTGAATTTTCTATTAGTTTTTGGCCGGTTCTATTGAAATGTTTAATAGAAAATGTACAAAAAAAGTCAATAGAATTAGATTTCTCTATACAATTTATTCTACAACCAAATCATGTGATTCCAGTATGAGGTTAAAGCCGATGAATTCGCCAAAAATTTGAACATGAGCAAAGAATGTTCACAATATGTTGGGCGTCTCCTTGAAGGCAACGAAAAACATCGGATTGAGATATCAGAATATTTAGGTGCTGCTGTAGATGCTTGGAGGGAAGGATTGGACAACCTTTACAAAAAATTTGCGAACATCAGAGTCAGGTTGGGGACCATCGAGATGGAAGCTTGCCGGTGTGCTACTTTTTACGGCTATAACACAAAAAAGCCCTTCAATTGTGCCATGAGAGTATGTACTTCAGCCATTGCATTGGTTATTAATTGGATCAAAGTGAACAAAAGAAACACTAGAGATGAGTTGAGACCTTTCCCATTGATTATTTTGCAACGATCTCGGAGAGTAATACACATTAAAAAATACACAGTGTTCAAGTCCATGGTGTGCGGAGTGAAATATTTTGGTATTGAGCACTTTGTTAACCTTAGTCTGGTCAGCAAACACGATCCTGTAACATTGGTTACCTCCGCGGGGATTCCCCGCCGTGTTATTTAGGCTTTAGTGTTGCCGAATTCACTCTACACTGCCCGGGCGCGTTTAGCGAGTTTCCGGCAACGTCGGGTGATGGGTAATTTCATTTAACATGGGAAAAAATAATTCATCTGTTGGAAATGATTCGTTTTCTTTAGGAATTCTGGGAAATATGTTGTTCTAAAAACTACTATAATTTTTTAGACTTCAATTGACAAAGTGAATTTGCGTTTAATTGTTCTCGTTAGTCAACTACCCAATCTAGGGTTAAAATTGAAAGCGGTGTTTATAATTTTATGGACATCTTGCAATATTAAAAAATATTCATTTTGCACTATTCAGTGTGAACTGCACTGAGTCGGTGTTATCATTCACTCCATGTAGTGTTACTCGTTACACCTCCTCGGTATTAGCGTTAACACCGAAGAATTTGTGTCGCACCGAACATTGCTATTCCCATTTTAAAAAACTAATAGAAGTCTAATAGAATTGTTTAGCGAGTTCGTTAGGTTTTTTCTATTAAATTTTTTCGTGGGTGTTCCATCACTCAAACACCGTTATCGGAAACTAGAATCTTTTGTTCATATAATATTGAATTTTTAAGATATTGGACAAAGGGAGAAGAATCGACACTGATGCCATGGTCGGAATCGGATTAGATGAGCTCCCACATATGGTGGATACACAAGCTAATGCACTGACCAAGTTGCATCGGGCAGTCCGAGATAAATCCATCCCGTTTTTCTATGACGAAAAGGAAATCGATAATCACCTGGCAGTAAGTCTCTTGAATATAGGGTAGCCATTGATTTTTCACACCCCTGCACCGAAAGTTCGTACCTTGCTTCCTGGTAAGCGGGAGGAAAGTAAGTACTTTCCTCTCCAGGGAGGAAACGTGCATGGCAAAATTCATCAGAAAAACTAGCGAATTCGCTAGAAAATTGTATTGAAATTCTATAGGAATTCTATGGAGTTTCTATAGGATTCTTATTGGAATTCTATTGAGAAATTCTGTTTGGTTTTTGCGTTGATTCTATTGGATAATCGATAAGAAAAAGTCAATAGATTTCGAATTTCTGTTTGAAATTTTCTCTTGAGATTTTTTTTACAAGAATGTTTGGGCATCAATTTTTTCCACTCGGATTCGGTAATGCAAAACAATACAAAATCCAGCGTAAAAAAACTGAAAATTTGTGCCCAATAATTTTAATAGAAAAAATCTCAAGAGAAAAATTCGAACAGAAATTCGAAATCTATTGACTTTTTCTTATAGAATATTTAATAGAATCAGCGCAAAAAACAAGTACTATTTTTCGACAGAATTCCAATAGAATTTTCTAGCGAATTCGCCAGGTTTTCGATTGAATTTTTTCATACATGAAGTTGCTCCCTCGGGCAGAGAGTAGTGATTACTTTCCGCCCAAGGGGGGAAAGTCAGTACTTTCCTCCCTCTGGAACAACTTGCCACCCTTGACCGGAAAATATTCGCTTTCCTCCCGTTCAGCAGAAAGCAAAATACAAACTTTTCTTTGCAGGCCTGTTAAAAAATATCATGTGCATCTCGGGCGGGGTAAGCATGACTTTCCGCCCTTGGTGTACAATATACTATTTTCAATCAACTGAAGATACTGATTCAAGAACTACTGTTCATTTTAGAACTTCTGCTCAGGATAGCAATAGACTGCCGCAAGTGTTCATGCAGAGAGAAGGATGATCATCATTATATTAAACATTTAATAACGCAAAATTTTGTAAAATCTAACATTACATGAATAAAAATGAAAATCGTCAGAGAGTTAATAGAATTCATTTTATTTTTATTCTTGCTTACGTCCTCTTTCCCCTCTGGAAGAATCGAGAATGGCTTCACTCGATAACCAGGGCACTAGGAAACTTCCATAACATTTCATCCGCGGACACAATTTCCGCGACCAAATAACCGATGACGATTTATCCGTCAACAAGGGATTGCATTTCCAATAAGGAGACTTGATCAGTTTCAATACTCGATTCAATGAATATTTATTATAAAATTGCGCTATACACAAGTGGGTGTTCAAACAGTTTTAAGAAAATGAGGTAATTATCCACGATCCTAGTTCTAATCATCAAAATTACACTATGTACATGTTTCTACGAACAATGATTGGTACAATAATCTTTTTCTCCGCACATTAATAGCAAAAATAACACGTTGAGTCGTGCCTGACGACTCGTCGCTCTTTACTTTGATAGAATGTTTGAAGAATGCATCGTTTCTCTCTATTAAAATTACGTCTAGGAACACAAAATATTTGGTGAATCATCAGAAAAAAATTGAGTCTATTTTAAAGGACCTTGATATGGATTTCAACTCCATTGATCGTTTTTGATAAAACAACCAAATTTTGCTAATGTTTGACCTACTTCGTCGTTTCATCTTTCACATACGAGGTACGAATCAGTAAAATAAGAAGGTGCTATCACTTCAAAAGCACTTTTTGATCAGTATTTACCAACCCAATGAAGGTAAAGAAATTATTTTGAAGAGATTTTTCAAAAACTGATTTAAAAATAGGTAAAATTGATTCACTTTGAGGTGGTAATCAACGAAATAAGACGAGTACAGATATAAAAACTTTTTTAACCATTTCACGTACAAAAACATTTAATAGAAAAGCCTAACACATTTGCTGGAAGTTCTCTTGGACTTTTATTGAAGATCCCATTAGGCTTTTGCCGATTCTATAAGAAATTATTTTCCAATAGAAATTTGTAATAAGAAATATTTCATGAAGAAAATCAATTGATGTTTTCATTTTAATTTTTCCATGCAATTTATTCCATTCAGATATTTTCTATAGAAGTTCCTTGGCATGAATTTTCCAAGATTTTTCGCAGATTTTTTTTTGTTTTTCATAAAAAATTTCAAGCAAAAAACTTGAAAAATTTAAGTCGACGAATCTGTTGAGATTGTTCTGCAGGAACAATCTCAACAGAATAAGTTGTATAGAAATTTTAAATTGTCTAGAATTTTTATTGAAAATGTCTGCAGAAGAAAAAGCGGGAAATTGGATCTTCAGACTTTTCAATAAAAGTCGATAAAAAATTGAAAGAATTTTCTAGCGAATGCGCTAGGTTTCCCTATAGGATTTTTTTCGCACGTGTTACTATATTTTGTAGAGCTAAAAAAGTCAAGACAAAAGACTTCCCACATATATTCCAAAAACCGATCTCGAAATAAAATTGACTTGTGATATTGCACAATTTCTTTACTCAATTCACTAAATTCGTCACGAATATTTATCTACACCATTGTGCGTCGTCCTTGGACATAATAAAGATAAATCCCACATGCGTGTCGATCTACCCCTTATATGAACATAAATAATAATTATTGACTGGTGTCCCCTAAAAAAGACGAATCAAGAGACAAATCATATCGTAGAATGAATAAAAGCACAGTGAGGAATTTCACGGTCTGGCCCATAAATTTTCTCAACCGTCATGTAGCACGAATTACGAGTAATATTGCTTGTAAGAGGACGTCATCTGCTCGAGGAAGATGAAGGTGAGGACTGTGTGGGGTCCTAATCTAGCATAGTAGGGGAAGAAGCCCTTCCACAGGGCGAAAACTCCCTCGTTACGTAGGACTTTTGCAAGAACGTCGAGAGCTCCCTTGTATTCTGATTTTCCATCGACCATCTTCATGTTTTGAATCCTACAATTCAACAATTCACATATTAATAAACTCAGTATTTTCCCATCTTTACATAAGGTGACAGGACTATTTGTCTAATGGAAAATAAGAAAATATTCCTACGAACCATTGTTTTAAGAGAAATGTTTGATAAATCGATTCATCTCCATTTAGCATTTAATTTTGTATCTTATGATGTTTCACATTACCTCGTCTTTGCAATGTCAACAGGCATTGAAGCAGCAGTGGTGACAAGTCCAGAGATCATTGAACTAGCGAAATGTAGCATCACATCCTCTTGGAAATAGCCGGTTTCGAGTAAAGCCTCTTTGGCCTGTGAATATGATGCTAATTGAGCTGCATTCACTACCATGGCTCTTCCCATTGTTGGAATGGCTCCACGCCACAATGTGAAGAGACCTTCTTCCTTTATTATTCGAAATAGTGCGTCAAATACATTTTTGTACATTCGTCGTTCAGCTGAAATTGTTCGAAGGAATAATTTCCATTAGTATTCACTGTATTTAGATTTCATTTCTTTATTTGTAGAGTAATTGGTTAGGCAATTTATTGGATTCGAATATTCAATAGGTCATGAGTAAATTAGTTTACAGTTGGGACTATAAACGAGTGCATGAGTAATGGAATATCTACCTATTGGTAATCGACCATCCGCAGTCATTCTGATGAGGGCAACCTCAGCAGGAGTGCCTACAAAAGCTCCGACACAACCTGCTGCCATTCCCAGCGCAGCTTTAGTGATGAAATTTGGTTGACCATCTTTCCTATATGAAATAGAATACAACAAATATTATCGTTCGAACAATTAGAAGTGTTCAGCTAATGTGGAATTGAGCAATTTTATCTTCTATAGACTCTGTCAATTCACTCGAATTCAAAATGAGCGAAATTGATCAACAATATAAAGCTGTGATTTCAACAACATCGAATCGTTTGTCATGGGCATTAGGATTTATAATCAAACGTTATCTAAATTGGAAAATCCGAGAAAATGCGTGAGGAAAATAATTAAAGTTGAATTTCACGAATGCAATGAATAGAAAATTCTTGCATATATCGTGAAAATGAATAAGAATCATTATCATTCTCATAATTACAATGAATCATTCAATGCATTCAAAAATGTAATTCCTTATGGACTCTTTCAACTTATTCGAATTCGAAGTGAACGAAATTAATTATTCAACAATATGAAGCTACAGTCTCAATAACATCGAGTTGTTTATGTCATAGAATGAGAATCTTTGTGTTTTCAAAATAAGTACTGCATTGTATTAGATCAGTATCAATACTAAATTGAAAAAAATTCGTTGAATTGCGTGAGGATAATAGTGAAGACTGGAATACACGAAAGATATGAATAAACAATTCAGCACTTGATTATTTCCAAAATCTCGAAAGGGTTCACAAAAATAGTCATGCAGTTTCTCCCCTCATGAAATTTGAGAGTTCCTAGATTTTGTCTGGATTTTTTCTGTAAAATTTCTCTGTAAAATTTTTCTGTAAAATTTTCTCTGTTGAAAATTTCTATTGAAAAAAAAATCATAGAAAAGCTGCAAATTTTTTTACTACAATCGGCGAAAAACTCATGGAATTTTCAATAGAAGTCTAACAGAAATATAATAGCATTTCTGAGAGAAAGCGCTGGATGGTTCTATTAAATTTTGTCATACGTGAAATCATCATCTTCCTGCACTTCCAAATAGCAGTTATGGTGCAAAATGGACTCTGACTTTTTTCAAATGTCAATAGCTCATTTAATTACCGTTAAATTTGGAAGCTGTCAATTAGTTGACATTACTTTTAAATTTTCAATTATTCAAGTAATCATCAATTTAAATATTCAAATTTTGAACTATTTTATTAATCAATAATTTAAGTAAGAAGATTGCCGATTATTTGGTTAATCCATAATCCCTTTTAATAAATTAGAAAGATTCACTTAATGGAAAATTTATAGGTCTATATTGCCAAATAGTTAATTAATCATCAATCGGAAATTTAAACTATTAATATTATATTATTTTAAAATTTTGATGAGTATATTTATACATTGATCAATGCAAGTCACAAATCCTTTAAATATTGAAGAAATATAATAGTTTTTTTTATCGTTAAGACTTTAAATGGTTAGATCGCACCATTCTACCCGGCCGGGATTTGAACTCGGAACCTTTCACATGTGAGGCAACGAACTTACCCACTGCACTAAGCCACCGGGTACAAAAAATATAATATTGATGGCCATCCCTGCTCTCAGGATGAAAAAGTCTATTGATTTCCTGTGTTATGAGCACACGGAGAGAAATGTTCAGTAAAAATTACGGAACTCAGTTCGTTCATCGATTACGGAATCGACTCAGAAAATTTAAGTGACGGTATCGTAATTTTTCACAGGAGATTCAAATAAAAATTACGGAACGCTCTGGAAAAATTCTGACAGTTCCGTAAAATTTCCTACAACCACATTTCGCTCCGGAATTACGGAAAAGATACGTAATTTTTATTGAATATTTCTCTCCGTGCACTAGAAAAAAGTCAAAAGTTTCCATTTTACCCCACCCTCCCGTAAACATAAATATTGGGAATAAGTATCAGTATAAACGACCTCAAAATAGAACGACCAAGTTATTTATCACAACACGTACGATGCTAGTTCAAACAGCCAAGTATAGATTCCCAGCCTTGTAGTTGTATACGTAGCCTGTCTCATGAGTCCAGCAGACAGTCCCGAGTACATGGCCAGTACTCCCTCATTTTTGACGATAGTTGAGACAACACTCAAAGTGGAAACTTTCGTTCCACTCAGTTGCATACGATTTTTAATCAAGTCCAAAGGTTGCACGAAACACGTTGCAGCCATTCTACACGAGACAAACCTTCTGTTAATGCATGAGTAGTGCATGAATAGATGAAACATCGTGATTAACACTTTCCCTGGCGATTGTCCAATGCAATAACATTACGATTAACATTTATTTTGAATTATATCAGTTATAAAAACAGTGGGACACAAATTACGAAAAATAATTCGAGGATTTTACAGCATTTTTTCTAGTAGTTCAACATTATTTATGATAATGAGTTATGAAGACAGCTTTTATTCATCTATTATTCAATAATAATCAGTAATTACTTACCCGGAAGTTCCGCCAATGAGGAATTTGATACTATTAGGCACCGAGACTTCTGCCTTTTGCGCTGCCATGACAATTAATCGAATAAAATTACAAGAAAATCGATCGAACAATGCTCAACAATTACTACTGTACTCTAACGAACAGTTGAGTGACAATCGACCACCTGCTAATGAGAGATTGTCACAGAAAATATCCCTGTTCCACTTTCAATTTCAATGACCTCTGAGCATATGTTTCGAGCCGAGGGAGCACAGGCCAGAGTAATACTGAACGGTTTGAGATACTGAAGACTCTCGTTAGTCTGATAATGTATTGGTGAATTTCGCGAGATTCGAGAGGAATGTATAACACATTTCGTCAGCTGATACTACGCCACCACTAGACGCATTCAGTCATTCCGCCCGATTTTTTCGCCATCTCGCGGGGGATTGGGGAATTGAGTTCACGAATGAAAAAGTTCTATTAGAAGAACCTGACGCATTTACTGATGGGTAATTGGGTTTTGCGTCGATTCTATTGACAAATTCCGCTGCTTTTTGTAGTTTTTTTAAATTTAAATGTCTGATCGAAATTATTTTATAGAAAAGATCCATCGATTCGCCTTTTTTTCGAGGGGCTAATCACTCCATAATTGGGCGATACCATGATTCCGAAATAAAGTCGATTTAGGGTGATTGAGAACATCACGGAAGATGATTTCGTGATTTCGAATGATTTCGTTAAGGGGCGACTACTATAAGTTTTAAAAGTAGTGGGAAATTGGAGTGATATTTCTCATGCATTGACGATCGACTATGTATGTCTAAAAAAGAATAATTAGTGCAAGAAAATTAATTGTTCATTGTTCGTTTGCTCCAGAGGCGCTTAAAATGTTAAAAATAGTCCAGGGCCTCCAATTTTTGAGCTACAGAGGTTTTTTTTCAACATTTGTGAAAAAATGTGTACAATAACAATGACGAATTAATTTTTTGAAATTCGACTTTTGCACAACTAATTTTGTTTTGTTTGATATAAAAATGTGTGCCATTCATGTAAAATAAGGAGACAAATTATCCTTAAAATATTAAAAATATATTCTCGATTCTTTCAGAAATATTTTTAGGGATATTTTACATGAATGATGCAATTTTTTCTCAAAATAATAACGAAATTAGCTGTGTAGGAGTTGAATTTTAAAAAACTAAATAGTAATTATTATTGTACATATTTTTCCCAAAATTTAGCCAAAAAAAAGACGAACGCGTAGAGTCCGTGAAACGCTGCCGATTCACTTTTTGTTAGACTTCTATGGAAATTTTAATAATATTTCATTGGAACTGTATTGAAAGTATATTAGCATTTTAGAAATTGAAACATATTCTTCAGAAACTTAACTCGGAGTTAACTTATGCATTTATCTTCTGTTACTCAAATTGCCCTCAATACGAAAATAACTTCTCCATGAGTAGAAACATTTTATTTTTTGTTATAATTTCGATACAAGGCATCTTCTAATTTTAATCAAGTTTTATGGTGCGTTTCAGAATATGTCGATCGATATCAATGAATTAACGCGGTTCATATCGGGGGTATGCTAATGGCGATGGATTTGCGAGGAATTGCGCAAGCTGAACTATTTACAATTTCATAGGCAATGGCATCTGGTGTTAAATTTTTTTTACGTGTCTGACGCGAATTTAAAAATTCGGAGGCACGAAAATATTTGATAGAACATGCTAGCGCATTCGCTAGTGAATTCTATTGGGTTTCTATTAGACTTCCGTTGAAAATTTTATCAGTTTCTCATCAATTCTATTGGAACATCCTATAGATATTCTGATGCCCGTTCTTCAAGAGAAAATGTTCAGTAGACACTAATCTATACATGAAGAGAATATAGAATTGAAAATTACTATGTGAACATAGTAATCGAGGTCTACACCGGAAAAACTTTGAAATTTGATTCTCTTAACCAAATGTTTGCAATGTGAAATTCATCTCTGCCGATTAAACATACTAACTTTTAACGGACAAAACACTACAAAATGCATGGACGAAAAAATACTTTTCAAAAGTGTTAAAAAGGCTCTATTTTTTACCAATTTTTGCTTCCGAATGGAAGCTTTGTAATCATGAATTTTTTCAATTTCCTAATTTTCGGCGGAGATGCCTAGAAATACCATGAAACGTGAAGAAATGATATTTTTGAAAAATGTCTGTATGTGTGTGCACATTCATGTTCGGTTGCCCAGAACTGTCCCTATAACTAGAGAACGATGAAAGCAAAGATGAAATTCTGGCTGCTAATTGGTACTACTGATAGTCAAATTTGTGCTAAATTTCAGCTCGATCGGATGAGTGGTTCCTGAGATATAGCGATTCCTCAAAAATCGTTTTTTGCCGATACCTCCTTAACCATGCGACGGATTCCAATTTTTTTGTCAAAATACTCGTCAGGATGATACCTATTCAATGGGATCGAAAACAGACCATTCCACCCCGAGCAATGTAGTTTTATCCTCGTTTTTTCGTTTTTTCACTGAAATTGCTTGAATGCATGATAACTTAAAAAATAATTGAGATAGAAACTTGAAACTTGGTATGATTTTAGGTCTTATGATAACAAAGTTTGGGATTATAGATGAACAGAATCGGACCAGATCTAGATCTAACAAAATATGTGTACCATCCCATTGAAAAGTTTAGAGATATTTACGTTTTTTAAATTTTTTGGTTGGAATTCACTTTTGCGCATTATGACATGGGTACAACTCAGGGAAACCTTTTGAAACTTTGGCTTGTAGTTAGGATTGTCACTCACGAAAATGACAGAAATTTCTAGAAAAGTCAAGGAGTGTGCAGGAAAATTGAGGGAATTGATGGTACTCCTTATGTGTTCATTTTTTAAAAAGATAGATTGAGATCCATTGGGAAGCGGATGTTTTCTCCTATTTTCATTTTTACTAATGAAATTGGTAGAAATGAAAATAGGAGAAAAAAAAAACGTAGCAGTAATATGTAATCTGTCAAATGGTTTCTGTCGCGCTGCTGGTTACTATTAAATGACGAGAAATTACTCGAGTCGTATGAATTTTGACTATGTTACACAGTAATTTTTTCAACGCGCTCCATCATATTTTAATTTTGTTAGCCGCATTTCTTCATCCAGCACGTCGTAGTTTTTCATTTGTTCTCAAAATTATTATGTTAAATAGTAAATTTTTGAATGTGGTCCATGTGGTCTGGCATTCTACTTCTCATTTTAAGAATGATTAAATTCCCACAGTAAAAAATAATTTTATATTCTTTCTGGGTAGAAAAAATCAATAGGATTCGATCTTTCTATGTCACTTACTCTCTATTGAGATATTTTCTATAGGGATTTCTAGGCTCAGTTTTTTGCTTTTTTGGTCACTCCGTTTTTCTCCCCTATTACAAGAAATGAAGCAAAAAAGGGTAGAAAATTGAGACTGTGAAATTTCCTTAGGAAATATCTCAATAGAATAAGTTATAAAGAATGATCAAAATCTATTGAATGTTTCCAGAACATAGTTTCTACTGAAAAAAAAAACTCGCAGGAAAGATGCGGTATTTTTCCCTAGGATCGGCAAAAAAAATCATTGAGGTTTCAACAGAAATACAATAGAATTATTCAGCGAATGTAATAATAAGTTTTTCAGACAGGTTTTATTTTTTTCTGGAGGAATTTATCTATGAATTTTTGGAATTGATTGAGAATGGATGTTTAGGTTCATGCTTAGCGATGAAATTCGGTGATATTATTCCAGATACTTAAATTATTGACAGTCGACCCTGTTTCATGTCTTATACTAGAGCCCTCAATAAGTATCTTTAAGGAAACGCTTGGAATTATACAATGTCAATGACAAATGACGTTATTATGACGTCATTTCATGCCAAATTGACGATAAAATTGTGCAAATTGTTCGTTGAAAATGAAAGTTATGACGGTGTGAGGACCGATTCTGCAGTAGGTGGGCCAGAATCCTTTCCATAGAGCCCCGACTCCTTCGGTTCGGGCGATTGTCGTGATGACTCCGATAACACCGGGAGATTTGCCGCTCGAGCTCGCATTCTGTATTCTATTGGTAAAAGACAAATTAATGGGATCTTCGACTCGCTCATGTTCTCTGTCTAGCAATGCCGTCGAGACTAGTCGAGAATTATTTTGAAGAGATCATCACGGTCTGAAAAAACATCGAAAGTTTTGGAATTGTCGAAATCTCGAAAGACATTGGATCGGTACATCTCGTCACAATTCCGAAAGGATTTATCTTGCCTGGATCTCGAGATTTTCGGTTTTTTAAGTTCACGAGACGAGACGAGACAGATATTGAGACAAACATTTGAAAAACAGAAAATACTGAAACTCAGACGTGATGGTGTCGTCCAAGTTCGCGACGAGATGCACCAATCCAATGTCTTTCGAGATTATGACGATTCCTAAACTTCCGATGTTTTTTTAGACCGTGATGATCTTTCCAAAATAATTCTCGCCTAGTTTCGACGGCATCACTCTCTCTGTCGGACGGCGATCTTTGAAATACTATGAAGGATCTGTCTCGGACGGATCTCATATGTTTGTTTCGGCATTTTTAGAAGCATCTCCGAAAGGGAAAGATTCAGGAAAATAAAACATGGAAATAATTCATAAATTCATTAAAAAACTCTATTGGATTTCTATTAGTTTTTCACCGATTGATTGAGAAATTTTGCAGCTTCCCGTGTTTTTTCAATTGAAAATATTTAATCGAAATTCTTTCATCGGAAAAATCCACCGAATTTGATCTGTCCACGTGTGAAAAAATTCAATAGAAAACCTAGCGAATTCGCAAGAAAATTTCTATTGGAATTCTGTAGGAATTCTATGGGGTTTCTATAAGATTTCTATTGGAATTGTATTGAAAAATTCTATTTGTCGTTTTGCGCTGATTTTATTGGATATTCGGTAAGAAAAAGTCAATAGATTGCGCATTTCGGTTTGAATTTTTCTCGTGAGATTTTTTCTGTAAGAATGCTTGGGCATTAATTTTTCAAGTTTTTTCCACTTGGATTCTGTAATGCAAAACAAAAGAAAAATCAACAAAAAATTAGAAAATTTGTGCCTAATAATTATAATAGAAAAAATCTCACGAGAAAAATTCGCACAGAAATTCAACATATATTGACTTTTTCCAGTTAAATATATAATAGAATCAGTGTTAAAACAAGTAGAATTTTTTAATAGAATTCTCATAGAAATCCTATAGAAACTCCATAGAATGCCTATAGAATTCCAATAGAATTTTCTGGCTAATTCGCTAGGTTTTCTATTAAATTTTTTAATGCGTGTCTCCATAAAACTTGGGCTATTGAGATGTTCTATTGAAGAAAAAACACCCTGCAGCACTGCGAACTTCTTTAATAGATATGGCTAAGAATTAAAAGAGTTTTTAATAAAAGTCCTACAGAAATCCATTAGAATTTTCTGAAGAATGTGCTAGGTTTTTCTATAGAATTTTCCCACGCGCAGATGAAGAAGTTCCTTTGATATTTTCTTTCAAAACCATTTCAAACATATGTCCAGAATACTATACACGAACAGAAATTCTGTAGAAACAAGCTAGTAGGTACTAGTTATTGGAAAACTCTAGTGCTGTTAAGGAGATGTTTCAGTTCTCATAAAATTAGTAGAGCTTTCTGGCAATACGAGAAAAATTCGCATGCTACCCAATAAATTTTCCGGTCTTAGCGCTAGAATTTCTCTTTAAAAAAATTCTCCGTCTACTTGTCTCATGATAGAGTCCTCGACACTTCATTCAAATGAAATAAAGAAATCAGATATTACTTCACCTTGTTTTTGCAATGTCAAAGGGCATCGAATTGAACGCTGTGATGAAACCGGATACCATTGATGCGGAAAAGTGCAAGGGAATTCCATCAGGTATGCCAGCTGGACGGAGGCAACACGATATCAAAAGTCAACACGATTTCATAAAAACTAATACTTCTCGCATATACCTTTCGTACTCATCAAAATCTTCGCTTGACTGTAGATAGCTAGTTGCGAAGCATTGACGACAGCAGCACGACCCATAGTTGCTAAACTACCTCGCCACAGCGTGGTTACTCCCTCTTCCTTAATAATACGTAGGAACGCATCGACTACATTTTTATAATTTCTTCGCTGATCTGTTGAAGGAAATTATTTCGTTGAAACTTTGTTTGAATCAAAATTCAATATATCTAATACTGAGGGACGATGGAAGAGTGAAGTTTTCAGATGAAATGAGTCATATTCAGTGCCAGATCATTTTTGCTTCCGAATAGAAGCTTTGTAATAGCTCAAATTTTAGTTCCCAATTTTTTGTATTAGAGTAACTCAATATCGTCTAAAAAGTCCGAATATGCGATTTTTAGCTGGTGTCTATACGTATGTATTTACTAAGGAGGCATTCTAGAGTAAGGTGGCTGGTGTACGTAACACCCTGACTTATGGTGCTTGCCTCTAATGGGATAGAGGATATAACCAGAACGAATTGAAGAAGAAGAACACCCTGGCTTCACCCGTATCACTCTAAAATGGACCGACGAGGAGCACGAAGCGCCCTATGTCACCTAAATCTATCAAGATTTATTGTAGCGACCGCTTGATCAAGACTTGGAATGGTTAGATCATCACCATTCTACCCGATCGGGAATCGAACCCGAAACCTCTCGCATGTGAGGAAAACCTTTTATCTCATGCGTGCGTGTAAAGTGCAGGTTAACAAGGGCGTTTGGAGGTCGGCAAGTCGAATTTTACACGCACCACCAATCGTTCTTCACTTAACAGACGTCCCCAGTTTTACACGCGTCCTATGCTATTTTACTGGTATTTCACACGTTCTCAATAACCCCTAGCGACATCTTGCGGTACAAACATAACCCATTATCCCAACCATACACCGATCAGCTGACCCATTAGACACTATTTAACGAAACAAATCGCAGTACAAAAAGCTAAAAAATAAACTACATAATAATAAATAATTAACTCAAAAAGTGAAATATGAACACACAAGAAGATATCTTTAGTGAACACGATGAAATACTAACAGATAATATACTTCGAAACGCTCAGGAAGCAGAGAAATGCTATCAAGAAAAAGCCAACTTTGAAAGAAAAAAGAAAATGAGTATTTTTTCTAAATATTAGAGAATAATTTTTTTTGCGCGATTTTCCTCC